AAAATGGGAACCCCTATTTTTATTACATATTCTTATAGCTTACCTCGAGAGCTTTCCAAACCGCTATAATAAAATATTTTTTATTAAGAACTTTTGAGTTATTAAGGTTTGAAAGTTCCAATATTTTGACACAAATTACAAAATATCTCGTAAAATGTTCATTTTTTTACCTTTTCTTATCTTATCTTAATACTTTTATGAATAGAATAATCAACCGGTGTAAGGAAAACACACAATTGTTCAAAAATGTTTTTATTATTTGTTACAAAATGAATATTTATACAAACTAAAATGAATATTTATACAAATTAGATACTTTATTATTTAAAAATATTATATCCAAAGAATCGAGCATAAGATTTTACCGAAAGAAATAAAGGAGACAATAACATTAATGAGACCATGGACGTAAGAATATCTGGACGGAGTGTAAGTTATAGCAGGGTTGAAGCCAAAGCGCTAAGGGGAAAAGTAGTCATCACATATGGCGGCGACGTTCGTGTAAACAGCGCGAATTTGAACTTTTTTAATTAAAATATCTGTAATTCAATGATTAAAAGGTAAAATAAATACAAAACTTCAGTGTCATACAATTTATAATTCTGAGACAATATAATAAATATAGAATAATAAAAATTATTGTCAATTTTGTACAGTATGAAAAAACCATTTACGTAAAACAACAATATATATACATAAACAAAATTAATATTTATGTAGATGTAAACTTTTAGAGAAATACATTTCTGTGAAGATACATTCGTTATTTTATTTGAAACTAAAATACATGAATTTAAATTTATAAATAAATCTTGATAATTGAATGACATGGTAGTGAAGGTAAATAAAAAATATAGTGGGCATATATAAATATAAAAGTGTTGTGTTATTTATAAATATATTCAATAAATTTGTACGATATATTATATTAATATTCAAACTTACATACTCACAAACCTTTAAATAATATAAGTTTCATCGCGGCATGTCTTTCACCGAGAACATTATCCTTAGTTAGTGCGTTTCCGAGTGAATGAAGCCTAATGTCTAAGTATTTGTGGACTATTGCTTTCGTTAAATGTGCGTCATGAGTTTCGACAAGCGTTTGATTTGCAGGTTTATTTCAGCGTGATATTTCAAAAATTTCTTGACACTTACACGTGAATGCGCACGAAGGTTAGGAAGAACGGACTTTCAACATTGACCACGAGGCGTCCTTACAATCACTTAGTCATCACAGAGTGCTGCTACACGGAACATTTAATCGGGTTTAATAACATCCGTAGTTAAAGGGCTGGCCAATCACAGTCATTCCATTCTTCTGAAAAGTAGTTGTGATTGGCCAGTTTTATAACTACAGATGTTATTAAACCCGATTAAGCATTCCGTGTAACAGCACTCACATATGGCCGTCACTCATTTTCCCCTTTCCGCGCTCGCTTGGGTCCCCTCGTCCAAAATCCTACATTACGCTCCGTCCATATATTCTTACGTCCATGAATGAGACATATTTTTAATACTTATACAATAAAACTAGAATGGAAACAACTTTAATACAAAGAAACATTTTATTAAAAGATGGTCTTTTTTAATTTAATTGTTGAATACACATCGGTCTTGATTCACGACATTATTGTTTATTTAAAAAACTTGGCGCTGCTGAACCGTCAATTCAAGAAAATTGCGTTTTCTATACGAACACGTGTACACTCATTGTCAGACATAATTAAAATAATAATTACTCTCTAACGGTTTAGTAAATCTACTTCAAAAATTTTTTCAGTATATTACAGATAACAAAGAAAGAGTTTCCCGAAGTTTCATTAATTTGGTACTATTTTGAGATAACTCATATATCCTTAAGCTAAGTAAGCTTAAAGTTAAACAACGTTGGTGAAATCGGACCTAATTCAATCATAAAAAAGATACACAAATATGCATTTTAATTGTGTGACAATTAAGAAAGTTTCACATTCTTAAACTGTAGAGAAGAAGATTTGTCCGCGCGCTGTATATTTGTATTCCTTCGTTACGAGACGCATCTCTTCTCTTTCACAGAGACTTGTCGAACCGGCCAGTCACCTTCCTTATGTAGCAAGACGTCGGAATATGCGAGAAAGCGCCTTAGCCGTGCTGCTGGCATGGACATTGGCGGCTCAGCAGGGGCTGTGCGGCAAGATGGAGAAGATCGCCCAACAGCCGAGCAACATTCTCGTGGATTATTACGCCTATCGTCATATCTCGATCATCCACTTCAATGTGCTCGAGCGCACCGTCGCGGTCGCCTTCAAGTAAGTATTGGATCGAAGAGGAAATCAGTGTAATTTTTTTCCGAGGTTTTACATTCAACGCACGCGGTTCGATGATATATCCAGCAGAGATTTTCTTAATCACGAGACACGGTAGGGAGACACTACTGGGGAGTGTATACTGAAGCTCGCCGCTCGCTGCGTGACAACTTTTTTTCGGTGCGCCGCTCCACCTCTCGTTATTAGCTGATGCCCCACCGTTGCCTGCTGAGTCCGGCCTGCAGCCTTCTACGCTCTCATTCGCTCAGACATTAAAATTAATTTCTCGATAACTATTGCGAATTTTGCAAAATGGTATAGGACTTTTCTATTCAGTTTACCCTGGTCTATCTACCATCTACGGGACATACGGGTATTAGGACACACCCTGTATAAGTTCAGACGCGTTTCTAGCTACGTTTGTATTAGGAACTTGAATAAGTTCTCGCTGTTTTTCGTCAAAATTTTCGAAACTGTTATATCATCTACTCGTAATGATTTTGCAAGTTCAGCTAGCGTCTAACATGGGTCTTCATTAAGTATATATATATATAAGTTCAGGCGCGGTTCTAGCTACGCTTGTATTAGGAACTTGAATAAGTTCTCGCTGTTTTTCATGAAAATTTTCGAAACTGTGTGTCATCTACTCGTAATGATTTTGCAAGTTCTCAACAAGAATTCTATGTGCTTCAGTTGCAGATTTCTTTTGAATAAAATAGTGCAATAAAATTCCCCGCAAATACTCTTTACTTGGCACAAAACTCGACATTTTCAGAACTAAGAAAAAAAACGTTGTTTGCACTGTGGCGAACTAACATACACTGAAGTTCAAGCTTACCGATAGTACTTCTTTGTAGATGCGTTACTATCTGAAATTACATGCACATAGTCCTGGTAATATCATCTGTTAGGAAACAGCGAGAACTTATTCAAGGTCCTAATACATGCACATAGTCCTGGTAATACCATCTGTTAGGAAACAGCGAGAACTTATTCAAGGTCCTAATACCTTTGTGCGAGACGCTACGTGAGAGACGCGACAGCAGCGCCAATGTCACGTTGCGGCAGAAAAGTGAAAAGGACGCTGGTCTGGTCGACGACGACGACGACGACGAGGACGACGACAAAGATGTTTCTTTATCCAAAATTTCACAAAACTGACTTTGCATTGCAATTGCATTGCAATATCTCCACTCATAGGGCACGTAGGAGAAAAGTACAAACACTTTTATTATGCAAATCGTACCCAAGCTATCGATTAAGCGCAGTCTCAAGTTCATCGGATCAGCCGTTGTTGAGATCTGAAAATCTGAGGGCCCGTCAACTCGTGTACTCGCGTAAACTTACACGGTCGGTCTCGCGCGCGCGGTACTAGCTGCGCTTACACTTGGCGCGAGACACGTGTCTCGTGATTAATTACTACTGGCAACTTTAAGAATATTCTTACTAAGATATAAAATTGTTTAGGGATCCGCGGGTACAGACATTCCTATCGCATTCATCATACCGAATTTTTCAAGGATACGCCTTACATACGAAGTTTGATGAATAAACATAGATTTTTCAAATCTATCTCTCTTGATTTGCAAACCAACAAAAGTATTATAATTTCCGAGTGTAATCTTAAATGATTCTTTTAATAATTTTATAATTGAGTTGAGAACCATCATTAAACGAGCTGCAATAATCCCATCGTCAATAAATAAGGCGAGATAGACTTCTGAACCTTCATAAAGCCCATAATATACACACTTATCAGCGTTCGTTTCTCTTAAATTAAAACAGTTTAGAACACTATGGAACTTCGCGTTCCAGCATCGAGGTGCTTGTTTAAGCCCCTCATACAAGGACTTATTAAGCTTGGACAAAATACTGTCACTTTTACAAAGACCTTTACATGTTGCCAATCCCTCTGGAACTTCCGTCAGGATCTCCTCTTTGAGCGCTCCATAAAGGAATGCAGTGCAGACGTCGAACTAAATCATCTCGTAGTAGAAACAAGAGTGGTAATTATACAGGGTGGGCCATTTTAATTTATACAGTCGATTTTTTAAAAAACTAAAAGAGATATGAAAAAATGTTTCAGACAAAAGTTGTATGGTTTCGAGGGGGACATAAGATGGTACCATAGGTTTGACCTTGAAGAGTAATTTGAAGGTCACATGAAGGTTACCTTCAATTTCTTAAATGGAACCTACTATTTCTCGTTACATATTCTTGTAGTTTATCTCGAGAGCTTTCCAAAACACTATAGTAAAGTATTTTTTTGTTAAGAACTTTTTGAGTTATTAAGG